AAAAAAAAAAAAAAAAAAAAAAAAAGAAATGTAAAGTTTCAGTCTATGCCTCGGATCTACTAAATCAGAAACTGAGGGTAGGGCCCAGCAATATGGGTTTGAACAAGCATCCCCCCTTTTTTTTTTCAAGTCAGGGTCTCATTCTGTCCCTCTGTTACTCACAACTCACTGCAACCTCAACTTCTTGAGCTCAGGCATTCCTTCCACCTCAGCCTCCCAAGTAGCTGGGACTACAGGTGCACACCACCATGACTGACTAATCAAAAAAATTTTTTGTGTAGTCAAGTTCTTACTCTGTTGCCTAAGCTAGTCTCGAACTCCTGGGCTCAAGTGATTCTCGCTCCTCGGGCTCCCAAAGTGCTGAGATTATAGGTGTGAGCCACTGTGCTCAGTCCCCCTCCAAGTGATTCTGGTATATATTTACTCATATTCTTTGCTGTAAAGCAGTGGTCTCCAACTTTTGTCAAATTTTTTATGGACTTATGTGGATGAAGATCGTTTCAGGATGATTCAAGCACATAACATTTATTGTGCACTTTGCTTATGTAATAATATTATTATATTGTATTATATATTTTAAAAAAGGGGCACGGATAGAAGTAAATGAGTAAATAAGATAACGGGCAGGCCATGTGCAGATGACAATAAGTGTCGGATTCTGACTTAAAACCTGCTACTAGATGCAGCTGTACAATTGAAGTACATGAACTCCCTTAGCACTCACTGTTAGGGTTTTGATATGAGTCTACAAGCAATGGATTTATTGTGGTTTCTGTGCAGTCAAATCTCACTGCCAATGTTAATCTGTATTTGCAGCTGCTCCCCAACGCTAGCATCACCACCTCAGCTCTACCTCAGATCATCAGGCATTAGATTCTCATAAGGAGCATGCAACCTAGATCCCTCACATGTACAGTTCACAATAGGATTCGCCCTCCTATGAGATTCTAATGCTGCTGCTGATCTGATAATTCTATCGCAGAACTTAGACGATAATGCCAGCAATGGGGAGTGGCTGTAAATACAGATGAAGTTTCACTGGCTCTTTTTCTGTGGCTGCTTACTTCCTGCTGTGTGGCCCAGTTCCTAACAGGCCATGGACTGGTGCCATTGAGAACCCCTACTGTAGAGTATATACTTACTAGTTAATTGAGATTGATATTTTAAACTTCACTGGATGCTACCACCGTATGAGGGTTTCCATTGTCTCTATATTCCTGCCAGACTTTAAAACTTTGTTAATCTAGTGGATGTGTAATTATATTTCGTTATGTTTTAGATTTATATTTCCTTAATTATTAACAAGGTTGACAGCCTTTTCACCATTTAAATTTTCTCTTTTGTGAAGTGCTTGTTGAAATGCAAAGTTTTTATTTCCACCTTTCTATTTGAATGTAGGATTTCTTTACGCATCATAGATGTTAGTCTCTTTTCAGCATTATATGTTACAAATATCTTCTCCCACCCTGTGGCTTTTCCTTTCAATTTTTTTATGTTTCTTTTTTAAGACAAGTTTTTCTGTTGTTTTGTTTTTTGAGTCAGTTTCAATCTGACACCCAAGCTGGAGTGCAGTGGTACTATTATGGCTCACTGCATCCTCTACTTCCTAGTCTCAAGCCATCCTTCCATCTCAACCTCTCAAGTAGATGAACTACAGGTGCACACCATCACACCCAGCTAATTTTTTCTTTCTTTCTTTTTTGTAGAGACGAAGTCTCACTACATTGTCCAGGCTGGTCTCAAAAAACTGGGCTCAAGCAATTCTCTTGCCTCTGCCTCTCAAAGTACTGGGATTATAGGTGTGAGCCTCTGTACCCAGCCAGTTTTTAAAAAAATAGTCTAAGTAATCATTTTTTTCCCTCTGTAGGTCCTCCTTTTATTCTTGTTTTTTCTCTTTCTTTTTCTTAATCTTTCCATCTGAAAGCAACTTTTGTAAGCAGTATGAGGCAGAGATCCAGTTAATTTTTTAGAATACAGATGCCCAGTTTTTACAGATGCCTTTTCCTATTACTCCCCAGTTGCACCTTGCCCAGGTATATCAAGGAGTATATGCTTGGTCTGTTTTTCTGAGCCTTCTGTTTCACTAGGCTATTTGTCTATCGGCACCATACTATATTTTGTTGCTGTAAGTCTTGATATCTTTAAGAGAGTTTTGGCTTATTGTTTGCTCTTTATATTTCCAAATACATCTTAGAATAAGTTTATCAAGTTCTACCAAAAAATTTTTTAACTTTATGATTCTAATAGGCATTGTATTCAATCTATAATCATTTTGAAGATAATTGGCAATCTTTACAATATTGAGTTCTCCTATCTATGACTGTATTATGGTATAATCCTTTATTTAATATCTTTCTAAAAAATTTTATAATTTTCTCTGTTGTGATTGTCTATCTTTTATTAGATTTACTGTCACCATTTGTATTTTTTGATGCTGTCGCTAATGATCTTTTTAAAAATTTTATTTCCAATGTTAGTATAATATATGGATTTTTGTGAAAGTTTTATTTTATTTCTAGTAACCTAAGGGTTTCCTCATAAGTGGATTTTGAATATTACCACCCTTTCTCTCTTATTCTGGTAAATCTTATTGGTATTAAACCAACCTTGAATTCTGCAGATAAGTGCAACTTGATCCAGATGTACTATTCTTCTTCTACAATGTTGGATTTTATTTTTATTTAGAGTGTTTGTATCAACATTCATGGTTCAGAATGATCTATTCGTTTGCTTTTTTATATTGTCCTGCTGTGTTTAGGTATCAAAGTATTACTAGCCTCATACAATGAGCTGAAAATTTTCCTTTTTTCTATTTTCTGTAAGAGGCTTAGTTAATGTTGGAGTTATTTCTTCGTTAATTCATTGCTAGAACTTACCAGTGAGGCTATTTGTGCCTGGAGTTTTTTCCATATGAGAAATTTTTTGACTACTTATTCAGTTTCTTTCATATTTAAAAATCAATTCAGGCTTTCTATTTCTTACCATGCAATTTATTAAATTATATTTTTTAGGAATTTATTCATTTTGTATATGTATATCCAAATTCTTGGCATAAATTAATTGTTTCTTGTTTCTATAATATCTGTAGAGCGGTGGTAATTTTCCTTTTTTGATTGTGATATTGATTAGTTATACCTTCTCTCTTTTGAGATGTAGTACATTAAAATAGTGTAAACTAAAATTATTTGTGTCAGTTAATTATTCTACAAATACTGCCTACACAATAATTACTAGATATATCATGAATATTGCAGTCACAATAGCTTGTTTAACATGGTATATTTGGTAATATACTATGTTGGTCTACATACAGTCTTTGCATTTAGTCACTTATCATGGTTGTATTTTGTCACAGTTTTCTCAGAGAGAAGGCGCAGTAGGAAAGAATATTAGGTGACAGAAACTGAGTAAGAAGAGAGTTTTAAGAAAAAAAGAATAAGCAGTGGTGTCAAGGAAAGTTCAAGGAGATAGCAGATTAAAAGTTTTAGATTTGACAGAAGTAGGTCTTATTAACAGTGTTTGATTAACAGTGGTTGACATTTTAGTCTCATTTAAATCTTAGGACATTGTTTATTTCTCAAGACACTTCTAGTGTCTGAATCCACCAAGCACCAGAAATTAAGTTTTAGAATTATTAGCTAGAAAAATTGCATCTAAATTCTTTCTAATTTTGTCAAATTATTACACTAAGCTTAAGTGTGAAATTCAGTGACAAGGGATTTGGGAAGCTTTTGTTCCTTCTGTTTCTCCTGTAGATATCATGGCTAAAATCTGGAATTGTGTAGTGCTTTCATGTTCTGTGGATTCTGAATTACCATTTTAAAATCAAATTCTGAGTTTTTACATAGCACATATCTAATTTTGTGTATTTGCAATGTTGCCTTTAAATTGAGGCTCTATGTCAAGGTCTCCTGAGATGCACTGAGGCTCTATGTCAGGGTCTCCTGAGATGCACCATGGAAGCTTGTGACAGTACTGAAGTAGGTAATCATGCCTCACATCTGTGGATATTCTGTTTACAATGAGTTATTAAGGATGACTTTGTCTTTCCTTTAACTCCAGGAACTTGTATCTCTGAAGCCATGTAAAGCTGCAGAGCTGGTTGCTACCCATTTTTCTGGACAGATTGAAGCAGTTATTAAAAAACTTCAGGTAAATGTTAGAAACATATAATGGGGAAAAAAACATCTAGTGGAAAGACAATTATTAAATCTCCACTTAGGTTTTGGTGGAATGTGTGTGTGTGTGTGTGTGTTTGGGAGTTTGCATGATGATCTCTGAATTTGGAAGTGAGGGAGTTCATCTTTATGCATCAAAGAAACATTTTTGGAACTATAATTTATACATATTCTAAATTGTAACCCACAAAAAAGCCTCTCTTTTCCTTCATTTTCTTTTGCTAAAGGACCCACAACCCTGTTCTCTTTGAGATTCATGTTATTTATTCAGAACTTTGTCTCTCTCAGATTACTTTAGTACTATTTAGAATTTTTCTTGGAAAATCTTAACTAGAATGCAATTAAATGAATGCTGAATATTGAGAATCTCACTTAGAAGTACTATTTAATGAACTTAGTATTCTACTTACACAGCAGTGATAGCATCAAGTTTGCTCACTGCTGTTATGGCCACAAGTGATAGAGAGAATAGGACAATGACAGGAACAACCAGAGCTGTTCCTTCAACTCTAGGTTGAAGCACAACCCAGAGTCCTCAAGTGACAATAATAGTGATTGGGAATAGCAGTATAAGTTGAAAACCACAGCAGTGAGTGGGTGGCAATTGGCATGAGAGACAAAAATATGAAATTTATTCATTTAAATACTTATTATGGCCCCACTCTGTACCAGTGTGCTCAGCCCTTAGGACACAAATAAGAATACAGCTTTTCCTTTAATTTTTCTATGAAGCTGAGAAGCACTAATAACTACAGTACAATGTTAAAAGAGCTACATAGAGATATGTAAAAAGTGCTGTAGGAACAAGAGAGGAGAGTGATAGACTATAAGAATATCAGACAAGAATACCCAGAGACACCTGAACTGGTCTTGAATGATTGTTATCAGTTTTTAAGCAGAGAATTGGGAAGTACTTTCAATATAAGAGTATTCTGGGTACATGATGCCTTGAAGGCATGAAGCAGCATGCATGCTCAAAAAATAGTCAGGTCTATGTGAAGCATGATGTGGTGGGGCAGTGGTGGAAGTGGTATTAGATTAACCTGTAAGAGATAAGCTGGAAGAGAGAAGCTAAATTTTAGAGGCTGGAAATTATAGCTTGGGGTCTGATGTTGAACACTCTTGTATGTAATGTTAATAAATTTAAATTGGACTGGGTACTGTGACTCACACCTATAATCCCAGCACTTTAGGAGCCGAGGTGAGAGGATTGCCTGAGCCCACAGGTTCAAGACCAGCCTGGGCAACATGGCAAGACCTTATCTCTACAGTAAACAAGAAAAATTAGCCAAGCATGGTGGCATGTGCCTGTGGTTCCAGCTATTTGGAAGGCTGAGGCAGAAGGATTGCCTGAGTCCAGCAGGTTGAAGTTGCGGTGGCCATGAACATACCACTGCACTCCAGCCTGGACAACAAGAGTAAAATTCCAACTAAAAAAAAAAAGAAATTTAAATTGTATCTTCTGTGTACTGGTGAAGTACTGAAGTGTTTTAAGCAATGGAATGACATTGTTTTATAGAAAATTAACTCTGGATTGCAGTGAGGAGAATGAACTGGCAACGAGAGCAGATGGAGGAGAGAGACCAGACAGAAGGCAGAAGGTCTAGGCAGAAGATGGTGAGAATAGGACTAAGTCAGTGGCAGTGGAGAGGATAGGTACAGGACATATTTGTGAAGTAAAATGTATAGGGCTTGGAAATTAGTTGAATATGTTGGGAGGGGTTAAAAATAACTCCCAGATATCAGGCTTGGTTATCCAGAATGATGAGATACATTAATTCATGATGAAGACTCATCCATTAATTCAGTGAATATTCATGTACTTACTCTGGGCCAACAAAATTAAGTGCTGAGGATACAAAAACATAAATGTGACTCCTGCTCTCAAGGCAGAAGACAAGTCAAAAGACAATTCCAGACTAGTTTGACTTGTATGATGATAGAGCACTGCCCAGGACATGGAGGGACATGAAATTCAGGTCAGTGAAAGGGGGGGATAGGAGGATGTTTTTACTAAAACTAATCTCAACCTCTAGAGCTTCTCTCCTCCTTTAAAAGTCAGCTGTTTTGTGGCACATGCCTGTAGTTCCAGCTACTTGGAAGGCTGAGGTGGAAGGATCGCCTGAACCCAGCAGGTTGAGGCTGTGGTGGCCATGAGCATGCCACTGCACACCAGCCTGGGCGACAGATTGAGACTCCAACTCAAAAAAAAAAAAAAGCCAGCAGTTCTGGTAAATTTAACCTGTTGTAATAGTATTGTAGTCATTGTCCTTTAAAACTTAAGATTATCAATGCAATGTCTTCTTTTTTCTGTCTTTTAAAAATAGTCTTTAAGGATATTAAGAGACAGAGAGGCCTGGTAATTGAATATGTCATTCATCAGACAAATACATAAAAGAAAAAGTGTAATGGATAAGAAAAAGGTGGCTATTTTACTGTGGTCTGTTTGTGAAGTCTTCGACATTCACTTCATTTCATTTTATTTTTTGAATTGGAGCCACCAAGGCTGGAGTGCAGTGGCACGCTCACGGCCACTCCAGCATCAACCTTCTGGGCTCCAGCGATCCTTCTGCCTCAGCCTTCCAAGTAGCCAGAACTATAGGCATGCACTACCCACTCCTGGCTCATTTTTTTATTTTATTGTAGAGACGAGGTCTCACCATGTTGCCCAGGCTGGTCTCGAACCCGTGGACTCAGGCAATCCTCTCACCTCAGCCTCCCAAAGTGCTGGAATTACAGACTTGAGCCACCATGCCCGGCCAACATTTCTTTTAAAGAAATGTTTATTTTACTGTAGAACTTTATTGATTATGCAAGAATCTCACACAGATTTTACAAAGTATATTTACTTTTGATGGCAGGAAATATGTTCTGGCCTATTGTTTTCAGAATTCTTGAAATGAAGCATAAACCAGAATTTAAGTTGTAACCAGAAGGGAAGTCACATAAAATAAAACAAAGTTATAGGAAAATGATAGAAAATCAAAGACTGACAAACATAAGTATATTTTAAAAATCATATTCTAAATTTCAGCTTTAGAGTTCCCTGCTTTTAAGGGTGAAGTTTTTGTCAATAAATAAATAAATAACAAAAACAAAAAAGAAGAAAACAATTTTTGCTTAAGTTTCCCAAGAACTAAGAAACATTATTTATATTTATGTGGTATTTGAAGGTTTATCTCATTTAATCCTCATAGAAGGCATAGGCTGTAGTGAGGATTCACATAAGGAAACTGAATTTCTCAGAGAATAAGTGATTTGCACAAAGTCACATAGTGAGTAAATGGCAGAAACAGAACCCAGATTTTATGGCATGTTGATTGCTAACATGTTGCAATTTGATTGTCTGTCTCCTGTAGTTGATTATATTGTTAATGGGCTTCTTCTGGTGGTTGTTAACTTGGGCCTCAAACTTCCTCCTCCCTAGATGAACTATATCACAGCAGCCCATTGTCACAGGAGGACCAGGTGAGGCAGAGTTTTGGCTGCACCTATCAGTACAGCCAAAACTCACCATCAGCAGAGCAGTTCCTAGCACTTGCCACTCCAAGGTTCTTTGTGCTCGAAACAGCTCTGGCATTTGCTTAGAAAAGGTCTTTTTTATTTATGGTGATAACAGGATGTTTATGTTCCTTTTGCTCTCAAAATTGACTGTGCAGAATTAGTTAGAATTGTTAGAATTCTAACAGGACATTAGTTAGAATTGTTAACAGGACATAAAGGACCTCTAATGATTCTTTAAAATTTCTTAGATATGTACAAAGGGTTTAGGGAAAATAGCCAGATATCTGTACATTTTGAAGGCATGATTTAGAAAAGCTCCTTACCATGGCATAATTTGAAAATTTGTTTTAATATTTTTTTTTTATTGTTTTTCTATTCAGAACCAGGTTTTGCTTTTCAAATTTTTGAGGAGTCTTCTTGACCCAAGGTATGTTAATAAACTTTAGTTTTTCATAATACATAAATGAGAAATAAAAGGAAGTTAATTGAGATTTAGATACCAACTTATAGTATCCACATAGTACAGTTAGCTCTTGATTTTTAATATTAGTGGGAGTAACTGTTACATACAGCATATGAAAATACATGGTCTGAAAGATAGATTCTGTCTTGAGGTAATACTTTCTACATAGTACAGTTAGCTCTTGAGTTTTAATATTAGTGGGAGTAACTGTAACATAGAGCATACATGGTGAGTTCTTATTAGTGTGAATAAAATAATGAAGCCATGCCATGAGGAAGAATTTGATGATCCTATACCTTCTGATTTCTATCCTGGCTTCATTCCTACCTATTCCTTATTTCATACTGGAAATTGATAACTCTATTTCCAGTAAAGTCAATACCTGGTTCCCAGCCTACCTCTAAAGTTATTACCTTTTAACTCTCACTTGATGTATTTAGTTTTAAGTAACTTGCTAGTGGTGAAGTAAGGGAAGTTTAAATGTGTTTTTTCAACTACTACTTGGGTACTTATCAAATAAAAAAAACCCCAAGGAGATGATGAAATTAGTAAGCAAAGCAGTTCTGCATATGAGCTCTTAAGGTTTTGCTGTGACTGAGCAGAATACGTTGGGAATTGAGTATAATAATATCCTCTAAGATAGTCACTCTAAACAAGAAGTGTATATCAGAATCACCTATGAAGCTTTTAAAAATACAGATGCCTCGGCCCAAACCTAGAATCATTGGGAGTGGGGATATTTTGATGTATACCTAGAGTTAAGCAACACTGGCTTAAGTGTGTTATTCCAGGATGGCATAAACTTTCATATCAGACATGCAAACTCTAGGTTTTATTGCAATATACACTGACCATTGAAAACAACTACTTACTTTAGCAATTGTGATATTAATTTTGGTTATTCCAGTGTTCTGTGATATTTTAAAATACCGAAATACCAATAGTATTGTTGATTGTAAAAAATATTTTAAAGCTCAGTCACTTAAATCTTGACAGGTTATGCTGCATTTAAATTTAGAGTCAAGCCGGGCTTGGTGGCTCAGCCTGTAATCCCAGCACTTTGGGAGGCTGAGGTGAGTGGATTGCCTAAGCCCACGGGTTCAAGACCCGCCTGGGCAACTTGGTGAGACCTCATCTCTACAATAAAATAAAAAATTAGCTGGGCGTGGTAGCGCGCGCCTTTAGTTCCAGCTACTTGGAAGGCTGAAGCGGAGGGATCGCCGGCGCCTAGCAGGTCGAGGCTGCGGTGGCTGGGAGCGGCCACTGCACTCCAGTCTGGGTAACAGAGTGAGACTCCAACTCAAAAAATAATAATAATAAAATTAAATAAATAAATAAATAAATAAATAAATTTAGAGTCAAACAAACGTGTATGTTTAGATGTTAAGAAAAAGCAGTCTGATTACATACACCCCTCCACCTGTGTTCAAGACTTTTTCAAAGTATCTGTGTTTTAATTCCCTGTTCTGAGGTTAGTATTGCTGCTAGACATCTTTTTAAAATTCTCTCAGTCTGCTTGGGCCCTAATTCTACTCCTGTAATTAACAGGTGGAGTTAATTAGGATTGGAGTTGAGGATAAGAGGGAAGAAAGAGAGCTGGAAAGAAGATGGAGAGAGCTGGAAGGGGGAGACATGAGAGTGGGGAGGACAAAGGAGGACTGAGCTGGGGAAAGAGGAGGGAAACAATTAGCCCACGTCCCAGCCTTTCTCCAGAGCCTGTCCTCCTCTTTTTTAGTGGCATGTTTCTCTCTGTTCCTCCTCCATGCTTCCCCCAGTGTTACATTCAGTCTCTCCTCTTCCCCTAGGACAGTTTAGTTAGTTAGTTTGTTTATTTATTTGTTTCTTTGTTTGTTTGTTTGTTTATTTTGAGTCGGAGTCTCACTCTGTCACCCAGACTGGACTGGAGTGCAGTGGCCGCTCCTGGCCACCGCAGCCTCTACCTGCTGGGCTCCGGCGATTCTTCTGCCTCAGCCTTCCAAGTAGCTGGAACTACAGGCATGCACTACCATGCCCTGCTAATTTTTGATTTATTGTAGAGATGAGGTCTTGCCAAGTTGCCCAGGTGGGTCTCGAACCCGTGGGCTTAGGCAATCCACTCACCTCAGCCTCCCAAAGCGCGGGATTACAGGCTGAACCACTGAGCCCGGCTATGGGTGGTTTATTTTAACCAAGTTATTTTCCTTAACTGTCCTACCTAGAGAGACTCAAATTGGAAGGACAGAGGAAGCTCAGCTTTGAACTGGCATTTTCTCAGATGTAGTAACCAAACATTACTTTAAGACCTAGTGTTCTGCTTTGAGAGTTCCAAAACTTGGATTGATTGTATTTTATCCTCTTACTTTATGTCTTATATAGGAGGCAGGCATAGGTTTAGATTGTGTTTTATATTTATTTTTTAATTTGATGTTTGGCATTTCAATCATTTTTATATAAAGAACAAATACAAATAACATTTGCTTTGGCATCACAATCATTACTTAAACTTCACAGTAATAAAAATGGTAACTCACAACAGTATCAGAGGTCTTCAATGGAAAATCTTGCTCAGTTATCACCTATACCTACATTTGAAAGGTGTTAAATAGATAAGACTCTAAGTATGCTGTGAAAGTAGTTTTGTGTACCATCAATCCACAAATAATTTCACATTTACTTCAGAAACAGGTATAATTTATCTCCCTAAGATAACCCTATCCCAGAATAATTACTCTAAATTAATTTGTCACACATCATTCCTTTCCTGTCATATCAGTTCAGTTGCAAGGTCCTCTCTTACCAACCTCAGAAGGAAACAGTGCACCCACAGCCCTTTCTCTTCCTTTCTCTCAAAAGCAACATGACCTGGAATGGCATCACTCTGAAACCAGCCAAATCTCCATCTTTACTCTTGACTAGCAGAAACTAAGAGCCTTGAATTAACCAGATTGCTATCTTAGCTCCGCCTTTTTAAGAAAACTCACCTGGTATATTAATCTGCATCCAGTATGCTTTGAGAGGTATACTTTTTAAAAAATTTCTTTATTTTTTTATAGAGACAGAGTCTTGCTCTGTCACCCAGGCTGGAGTGCAATGGCATGATTTTAACTCACTACTGCCTTGATCTCTTGGGCTCAAGTAATCCTCTAGCCTCAGCCTCCCAAGTAACTGAGTGTAGAGGTTTGCTCCACTAGACCCAGCTAATTTTTTAATTTTTATTTTCTTTGAGTCAGAGTCTCACTCTGTCTCCCAGACTGGAGTGCAGTGGCATAGTCACAACTCTCTTGCAGCTTCAACCTGCTGGGTTCATGCGATCCTTCCACATCAGCCTCCAAAGTAGCTGAGACTACAGACATGCACAACCACATCTGACTTAATTTCTTTTATTTTTTGTAGAGGTGACATCTTGGTATGTTGTCCAGGCTGGTCTCGAATTCCTAACCTCAAGCAATCCTTCACCTCAGCCTCCCAAAGTGCTAGGATGACAGGCTTGAACCACTGTGCCCAAATGAGAATCCCATTTCTTGAATTCATCATATTTGATCCTCTTTGTCTTACATAGAAGGCAAGCATTAATTTAGTTTATGCTTTAAACTTATTTTTGAATTTGACAAATTTCAAAATTATTTGTTTGACATTCAAATCTTTTTTTTTTTTTTTGAGTTGGAGTCTCACTCTGTCACTCAGCCTCGACCTGCTGGGCTCTGGCAATCCTTCTGCCTCAGCCTTCCAAGTAGCTGGAACTACAGGCGCACTACCACGCCTGGCTAATATTTTTATTTTTATTGTAGAGATGAGGTCTCACCAAGTTGCCCAGGCGGGTCTCGAACCCGCGGGCTCAGGCAATCCACTCACTTCGGTCTCCCAAAGCACGGGATTACAGGCTGAGCCACCGAGCCCAGCCTCAAATCATTTTTATATAAGGAGTATTTTCAATTATAGAATCTCAGATTAACTCATAAAAGTCTGTTTAACCCACAGTGTAAATATATATTTATGATAATGCTACTAATATAATGAATTCTGGACTGAGGGAAAAAAAATTAGGTTAAGGTTGAGTACAGAGGGAGTAAGGAAAGAGGAAATCTTCCCTTTCTTGTTTTCAGTGCTGTTGTTAGACTAAGCTTTGAATTTTAGAAAGTTTTTCTTTGGTGCCCTTTGGACTCTACCTTCCCATCCATTCTGCCTGGTTCTTTTCTTTTCTTTTTTTTCTTTTTTTTTTTTGAGTTGGAGTCTCACTCTGTCACCCAGACTGGAGTGCAGTGGCACTCTCCCAGCCACTGCAGCCTCGACCCGTTGGGCTCTGGTGATCCTTTTGCCTCAGCCTTCCAAATAGCTGGAACTACAGGCACGTGCTACCATGCCTGGCTAATTTTTTGATTTATTGTAGAAATGAAGTCTCTCCAGGTTGCCTAGGCAGGTCTCGAACCCTCGGGCTCAGGCACTCCACTCACCTCAGCCTCCCAAGGTGCGGGATTATAGGCTGAGCCACCGAGCTCGGCTGCCTGGTTCTTTTCAAGGGCAAAGGTTGCCTGTACCTCTTCAAGCTCTCTACTTCATAAGCACACTCAAATTTAGAGTATACTTCATAGATTTTAAAAATCCAAATTATTTCTCCATGCCCCAGTCTAAATTCTTTTCTAATTGTTTTGTCAATTCTGTATTATGTGTCACTTTTATGGTGAGGAATATACATTGAATACAATGAAGCATATAAAGATGGAAGAAAAAAAAATCTTGTTCTAATATCAGTTGACCTTAGGGTAAGAAGAAAGAAGCTAGTGTGGACTAGTTTACAGAATGACTGACTTATCACATTTTAGCCTTTTAAAATGACTATGCTCATTAAGTAACCTGAAGTAAAGGAGTGGAGTCTTGTCAGGTTCTGGGAAACCAGTTTTTCTAAGGGAGTGTGGAAAAGATGCATCAAGCATAGGTAGACGGCCCTGTCTGGCAGCTTTCACTGACAGCCAGCTCTAGATTATTTT